AGATCTCGGCCTGTCAGCTCTCCAGGCCAGATAAGGTCTGTGACTGTAAATCCTCCCTTGAAAGACTTTGCTGGATGTGAATGTGCAGAATTCACAGTCAATTAATAAAAGGGGGTTTTGTCGGGACAAGGGGAGTGGAGTTTGCAGGAGACAATTAGTTCACTTCATTGGTTTGTGACTCTCCAAGACTCCTTGCCAACTTCTGCAGATCTCGGCCTGTCAGCTCTCCAGGCCAGATAAGGTCTGTGACTGTAAATCCTCCCTTGAAAGACTTTGCTGGATGGGAATGAGCAGAATTCACAGTCAATTAATAAAAGGGGGTTTTGTCGGGACAAGGAGTTTGTTTCACGCTCTTGGGAAGCCTCCGTCAGCACACTCTCTACAGGATGAGCTTCTCTTTGTGCCAGTTCAGAAAGACGTAGAGATATCTGCCCGTTTACCCCTTCCAAGTGTTTTTCCATTTGGCTGCAGAACCACCGGTTGGCCAGGGAACCAAGAGGCTGCCGTTGAGAACTGGAGGGCCTGGCTGGAAATTGGCTGGTGATTGCAATTCCCCTTATTCTGTGTTGGCTGAGGCTGCTGGGCGTTGGAGTCCAGCCACAGGCTGCCCATTCAGGTTTTGATTGTAGCTCGAGAGGAAGCCTGCCTTCGCTCCTGTTTCTGTTATTCTAGGCCTTGAGGGAGCCAAAGATTGTGATCTCCCGGGTCTTTTGTTAACTTTTAGGAGTTCTGGATATGGAGAGCCAATTGTTTAGACAAAAGTGTGTGTGGGGGGGACACCCAACTACCACCACCCTGTTTTTTTGCTAACATTGGGGGGCTAGAGCTTAACCCTCTTCCACACGATGCTTTAAAAAAAGAAAAAAGGACTTTCTCGATTGACAAAACGCCCGTTTTTATTAGAATAATGTTTCAGAAAATCTCGTGATCAGGAGGGGATGCCGTACCCCAATTTGTGTAGGAAAAGAGCCACAACAGACTCTTGTTGTGTACAGTTTAACAAGACACCCTGTTTTGGGAAAAGGGACACACCCGACAAGCCAAAGGATTCCAAGATCCTGTAATTTGTAGGGCGAAAACCACACTCGTCTCAGCTCTTTTTCTCTTGGAGTAAAAATCCAAATTCAGCAAGATTCTCAAAAGGCAAGTCCCAGCAGCAGCTTCTTGTGCCATGTGGCCACATTGCAAAGGCCAAAATCTTCCTCTTGGTGGGGGGGGGGGATCTAGAATACAGGATTTCCATGTGGGGAAAGGGGTGACTCGCTTAAAAGCCACCTGCTTGATTATCTGTTGTCTTCCATCCCGCAAAACTTGCAGGCCAAAGTGGCTTTTGATCTGCCTGAATAATCACCCAAATATCACATGGTGGCTCAGTGGCTAAGACGCTGAGCTTGTCGATCAGCAAGGTCGGGAGTTGGGTGGTTCGTATCCCTAGCGCCATGTAACGGAGTGAGCTCCCATGACTTGTCCCAGCTTCTGCCAACCTAGCAGCTCGGAAGCACTTAAAAAATGCAAGTAGAAAAATAGGAGCCACCTTTGGTGGGAAGGGAACAGTGTTCTGTGCGCCTTCGGCATTTAGTCATGCTGGTCACATGATCACAGAGACGTCTTCAGACAGCGCTGGCTCTTTGGCTTTGAAACGGAGATGAGCACTGCCCCCTAGAGTCGGGAACGACTAGCACATATGTCCGAGGGGAACCTTTACTTTTATTGAAATACACAGAAGGGGAGAAGGAGGTTGTGCAAAGACGCTGCCATTACGATTTTGAGGAAATTCTTGTGGAGCAGCCTGAATGTCTCTGGTCCGAAGGTGGTTAGGACAGAAAAATTACAGCTCCCCTTCTGGGTTTTAATGCACAGATGCTCTTCCATCTTGGGCAAAGAGTCTTGGTTCGACTGACTTGGGTTTTATTCTTCTTTTTCATCTTCCCCGGGTTTTTTGTGTATAAAAAATCCAACCTGGGGTTGGGATGAAGAAGGAAGCAGAAAAAAGAGGTTATTAGATTGCAGAGAATTGGAGGTTTTTCAATCTTTCAGTTCTGAAATTTCAGAATCCAGCTGCAACGACATTTTAAGCTTTGTTTCCCACTTTTCAGTGGGAAAATGTTCGTGAATTATATCGGCTAAAAAAAGTTTTTATTCCCACCCACCCTTAGAATTAAGAGTGAGGAATGGCGTTTCCCCCACATTCTCTCAAATTTAGACTCTTAATTTTTCACAACCTGTGGTAAATTAAGTGCAAAATTAACACAGGTAGTCCTCACCCATTGAAAGTTACAACGGCGCTGGAAAAAAAGTGACTTAGGACTGATTTTCACACTTAACAAGCATTGCAGCATCCCCGTGATCACACAATCAAAATTCAGACGCTTGGCAATTGACTCGTATTTATGACGGTTGCAGTATCTTGATGATCACTTTTGGTGACTTTTCTGAGAAGTCAATGGGGATGCCAGATTAACTTAACAACCGTGTCAATAGCATAATCACTACAGTGATTGGCTTAACAACTGTGGCAAGAAAGGCGAAATTCGTTTAAGAAATGTCTCAACAGAAATTTTGGCCTCCATTAGTTCTAAGGTTGCTTCTCTCCTTGATTAGTTTCCACCCATTGCTTCTTGTCCTCCCCTCAGCTGCTTTGGAGAATAGCTTGACTCCCTCTTCTTTGGGGCAGCCCCTGATATATTGGAAGACTGCTATCATGTCCCCCCTGGTCCTTCTCTTCATTAAACTAGACATACCCAGTTCCTGCAACCGTTCTTCATACGTTTTAGCCTCCAGTCCCCTAATCCCCTTTGTTGCTCTTCTCTGCACTCTTTCTAGAGTCTCCACATCTTTTTTACATCATGGTGACCAAAACTGAATGCAGTGTTCCAAGTGTGGCCTTGCCAAGGCCTTATAAAGTGGCATTAACCCTTCATGTGATCCTGATTCTCTCCCTCTGTTGATGCAGCCTAGAAGTGTGTTGGCTTTTTTGGCAGCTGCTGCACACGGCTGGCTCCTATTTAAATGATTGCCCACTAGGACTCCAAGATCCCTCTTACAGTTACTACTATTGAGCAAGGTACCACCTATACTGTACCTGTGCATTTCGCTTTTCTTGGCTAAATGCAGAACCTTACTTTCCCTGCTAGCTAAGCTCAACGGAAGAAGCTTGATTCCTTAACGACTGCTTGATTCCTTTCAACTGATTCCTGCTTTGTATTATATGTGGTGGACATGCCAAAAGGCAAAAACAAATATTGGACAAAAATGCACACCTGGTTGGAAAAAAAACGATAAAACAATATATAGATCTGAAACCTGAATTATTTTTGTTGGGCATACTACTCGAAAAATATGATAGAGGGAAAATATATTTGATTTTACATGTACCAACTGCAGCTGACAGGTGCCTGTCTGTGTGGATCCCATTATTCTTACCTTCCATAAGAAAAGGATGACCACGGTGAGCAGCAGGAGACCACCGAGGATGCTGCCAATCAGAATCCAGAGGGAAAGAGGGACCAGTTTGGACTGGATTATCTCTAAGACAACCTGCAGGGAAATCAAACTCGTGAAAAGGCAGTGATTCTGAAGACTTTAGCAATAGCACTTAAGAGTTATATGTCGCTTCACGGTGCTTTCCAGCCCTCTCTAGGCGGTTTAGAGGGTCAGCCTCTTACCCCGAACAATCCGGATCCCCATTTTACTGACTTTGGAAGGATGGAAGGCTGAGTCAACCGTGAGCCAGTCAGAATCAAACTGCTGGCAGTGGGCAGAGTCAGGCTGCAATACTGCATTCTAACAGGAAGGAAGGAAGGAAGGAAGGAAGGAAGGAAGGAAGGAAGGAAGGAAGGAAGGAAAAATAGCAATACCACTTAAATAGCATTTAGACTTATATACCACTTCACAGAGCATTACAACCCTCCAAGCAGTTTATGGAGTCAACCTCTTGCCCACAACTATCCGGATCCCCATTTTACTGACTTTGGAAGGATGGAAGGCTGAGTCAACCGTGAGCCAGTCAGAATCAAACTGCTGGCAATGGGCAGAGTCAGGCTGCAATACTGCATTCTAACAGGAAGGAAGGAAGGAAGGAAGGAAGGAAGGAAGGAAGGAAGGAAGGAAGGAAGGAAAAATAACAATACCACTTAAATAGCACTTAGATTTATATACCATTTCACAATGCTTTCCAGCCCTCTCTAAGACTCTTTACACAGTCAGCCTCTTGCTCCCAACAATCTGGGTCCTCATTTGCCAACCTCGTAAGGACAGAAGGCTGAGTCAACCTTGAGTCCGTCAGGATCAAACTCCTAGCAATTGGCTGCAATAATGCATTCTAACCACTGTGCAGGCAGGCAGGCAGGCAGGAAGACAGCAATAGCACTTAGACTTATATGCCACTTCACAGTGCATTACAGCCCTCTCTAAGCGGTTTACACAAATCAGCCAGGTGTTGGGACCAGGTGAGGGGGAGGGATCAAGTGGGAAGGTAACCTCGAGTCCTTGTGCAGCCACAAGAGATATAAGCCTGGCCCACAGACACACACACACACACACACCATCTGTTGCTTTCGAAGAGAAGCTAAGACTACGATAAAAGTTGTCCATTTGAACCTTCCACATGTTGATCTGTGTCAGTCTCGTTTCTTACCTGTCGCTGGTGGGCAGCTTTTGGTAGAAGAAACAGATTGTCTTCTTCTTGGACGTTCAGGGTAATGCTACTGATTATCTTCACTGTCTTGAATTTAGCCTAGATCCACAAAATGAAGTGTGATGAGGGTCCCAGAAAATTAAGAGAGCGTCCTTATAGCAATAGCACTTAGAGTTATATACTGCTTCACTGTTCTGACCGAGGCTTCCCAAGAGCATGAAGCAGACTCATCGTCCCGATAAAATCTCTTTTATTTAGGTTAAAGGGAATTCCTCTCCAGCAAAGTCCCGGCCAACAGTCTTTCAAGAGATTTCAAAACTACAGACTTTTATCACGCTTGGAGAGTTGCCAGGCCGATATCTTCCAAACTCCACGCTGTAGCAGCAATTCCTTGGCAAGAAGTCAGGAGCAGATCTTCACCCTAAGGAATTGAACTCCTGCAAACTCCACTCCCCTTTCACTCCTTTTTATTCACTATGGGAGGGGCCATTCACCATCTGCCTGTGGCCTTACTCCCGAGTTGGCCCTTGTTCCTTGGCTGTTCCCTTCCTCTGGCAGCTCTGCGCATGCGCACACTGGGAACAGGCTCCAGCTGTTCCTCTGCCTCACTGAAGTCTGCCTCCGAAGGCAGCTGATAACTGTCAGACGGCCCTGGCCCCATCTCTGCCTCCAACAAACAGCCCTCGTCAGAGCCTTCCCCAAACTCCAGGACTGGCCCAGGTTCCTCCCCAACCCTCCTCACTGTCTGAGTATGCCACCAGCTCCACTGGCCATTGGCGGGCCACAACATTCAGGGAGGGCGAAAAATGGGCTTACTGGAAGTTCTGGGAGCCTGGAAATGGGTTCGTTTCCAGCTTCTGGAACCCGGGGAGGCTGTTTTTGCCCTCCCGGAGGCTTGAGGAAAACCTCTGGAGCCTGGGGAG